ACGTCAGTAGAGGTCGATAAGATCAAGTTGGAACCCAAGAAGAAGAAATGGAGAAGAGAAGACTTGTTTGGTTCTTCAATTGTTGACCAAACCTTGCAAGAATTGGAAGAAGATGACGACTTTCAGGCTACCAAGGAAAAGTTGAAAACAATCGGTCAAGAAGGAATGTCGAAGGAAGAACGGACACAACGTCGCAGAGCATTGGATAATCTTGGAATTGAACCATTTGCCAAGTTTCTTCGGAAGGAAATGGGCACAGTCGATGGCAAGCCCTTTGTTCTGAAGAGACAGACGCCCACAATTTTGCAAATCAATATCGGTTTGTATTGCAACCAAGCTTGTGGACATTGTCACGTCGAATCGTCTCCTCTTCGTACGGAAGAAATGATGACTGCTGATACCGCAGCTCAGTGCTTGGCATTGCTTAAGAACACTCAAAGTATCACGACCCTTGACATTACTGGCGGAGCTCCTGAGCTGAACGAGAATTTTCGATACCTTGTCAAGATGGCGAGATCCATTCGACCAGATCTAGAAATCATCGATCGGTGCAATCTTACAGTCTTGCAAGAACCAGGTCAAGAAGACCTTGTTGAGTTCTTGAAAGAGAATAAAGTACACATTATTGCGAGCCTCCCATGTTACTCGGAGGAAAATGTGGACCAGCAAAGAGGAAATGGAGTCTTTGAGCGATCCATTGCTGCTCTCCTTGCATTGAATGATGCTGGTTACAGCTCACAGTCCGACTTGAGACTTGATCTCGTGTACAATCCTCTCGGCGCCTTCCTCCCGCCACCACAGGAAAAGCTGGAAGTTCAATACAAGCAGCAGCTGGCGGACAATTTTGGAATCCTCTTTGACAGTCTCTTCACCATTACCAACATGCCCATTAAACGATTCGCAGACTTTTTGCACCGAAGAGATGAACTGCAAGGTTATATGGATCTGCTGGTCCGGAATTTCAACAAGGACACAGTTGAGAATCTCATGTGTCTGGAGACCATCAGTGTTGGTTGGGACGGAAAGGTCAGTGGACGATAGGATGGAAGCTCGTGCTCTTCATATTTCGTGATGCTTTCTAACAAGAGTGACCACAACACGTTTTCTCACCCACTTTTTGTCGCCAGATTTATGACTGTGATTTCAACCAGCAACTGGGTTATGCTATCGGAGTCGACAGTATTCATCGAGGAGGCAAGACCGTCTTTGATCTAGAATCCCTAGACGAGCTGATTGAAAGTCGTATCCGAACTGATAATCATTGTTTCGGCTGTACAGCCGGAATGGGATCCAGCTGACAAGGGGCCACGGCAGAGGAGTAGTTCATACTCTTCTGTTGTGGATATCAGTTCTGAATCAGTCAAGGGTCTAGATTCCATTTTGATTGACTCCATTTGCTTTGAATTTGGCCATTACTGCCGCCTACGAATAGAGGCACACGTGAATGACTCTCCAATGTGGTAACCTCTCTGGTTGCAGCGCACGAGATGAAAAACTGTGTTTCTTGGTCCTGCAATGGTGATTCCAATGCAAGTGTCAGCTATTGCCATTCTAAAACTAGCAATGATTTGTAATAAACTGCATTCTATCTTGATTTCTACTAAGGTCGTCTACTTCACTGGAAAAGAAGCAATTGGAATCTTGTACACAAACAATTCCGGATTGCTGACAGCGATAATAAGATTTGTATTGCAACCAAGCTTGTAGCCATTGTGAAGTCGAATCGTCTCCTCTTCGTACCAGTACAGAAGAAGTGATAACTGCTGATACCGCAGCTCGTGCTTGGACGAAGTGTTGAAGAAGAATACTCAAACAAGTATCACAACCCTGAAAAAAGTCACTATCTAATCTCTTTGATCCAGATTCATGGCGATTAACAAGGAATGTTGGTAATATACTCGTGCCAAAAGTGAGAGATGTCGTACTCGGTACCTACACTAGAAGATTATGATAGTCTACCGGTACGACTGTACACTAGAAGATTTCGCAGATTGCTTACTAGAATCATCCTCTGTTAATGATACCTCAGGCAGGGAGGCAAAAGAGAGCAAGATTGATTGCGTGTAAAGTTTCACTCTAGGTAACTTAATGAACTATTCTATATTGCGGATTCTTTGTCTGTCTGTTTGAATTTGTGCATTGAACGTAACGGATTGATGCATTATAATGTAACGGATTAATGCATCGATGTAACGGGATTTTGGGACTGAGTTAGTCCCAAGAACAACATCAATTTGAAAATGCGCCCTTGTGCGGACTCGAATCAATATTTTTAGGTTAGAATGAGAATTAGGTTTCTGAAAGAGCGTAATAACACCGAAGGTGAATGAGTGGAGGTCATGCAGTATATATGGGACGCGAGGAGTGCGAAAACATATATATCACAATATGTTATATCCAGTATGATAGAATGTTGTCCGATCAAGATTTTTTATCATGCCAATTCTGAATGACTCGTTGACTCATCGGAAAACTTTCAACTGTAAGTTGCTTCGTGCGGTCTCACAACATTCTGGCAAGTGAATGCGGAAAAGCTCATTGTAAACTAACAGTACGGGTTCTGTCCTGTTGCCAACCATAACCACTCTTTATAATCCTATAGAACCACAGTTCGCAATGACAACCACACTCAAGAGAAGAGTGACCATCAAACCAATTGTAAAAGCTGTAGAGGTCTTGAGCATCTACGATTATACCCCCAGCGAGATAGCAGCTTCGTGGTATGATGAAAACGACATGGACAAAATCGCACAACGATGCTTCAAAGTACTGCAAAGAATGGAAGAGTGTCGAGGAATCAAGAACGGCCAAAAGTATTGCACTCGAGGTCTGGAAGGACACACCACGCTGGG